CCCGCCTCGGTCCCGGGAGCCTCCGGGGCTGTGCTGGTCTCGCCCGCGGGGCAGAGGCGTGTTCGCGGCCGGCGGAAGGCGTTTGGGCGTAAAGATCCTGAAAGTGGTGGATTCCAGCCGGTGCCATTGTCTGCCCCACGTGTGGGCCTGAGCGAGGTTTCCCCTTGCTCATGTATTGATCCCCCCCAGGCCGAAAGCGATATGGTCAGGCAAACAAAGAAGCGAGGTGAAAACTTGGAGTTGGGTCGTTATTATAGTAATTCCCTACGTCCATTTTGTTCTGTAATGTATAAACGACTTTTTTTCTAAAAGGACTTAATGACACGTGAGGGAGGAGAACTAACTAGCCGGTTTACTAGCAGTGACCTGCTTCCGCTGCTGGGTGGTGCTGGTATTAACAGCTCTGCCTTACCCGTCATGCGTGTGGCAGCCTGATTTGTGCAGGGATAGGCAACTGCAGTGTTGAAATAGTGTTAGAGGTGGAAGGCATGCAGTGAGAAGGTAGTGCTGCATACCGAACACAATCGAGTACAATTTTGGTTTTTTCTTACTGAATTATCTTACAGGTATTTGTGTCCTGTAAGAATCAAAAGCTGACAGAAGTTTTCCACTCAGATAACCAGTGCTGCCCGATTAATTGCTGTAGGTTAGACTTATTATGGAATAAAGTAAAGCTTCCAGCTGCTTGGAACGGCAAGAAGTTCTTCTATGTCTTATTGTCACGGGGAGGTCACATGGATGCTTTATTAATCTGATATTTTAACCTATGTAGCACTATAGGAAAGTGAAAACAAATAGGCAATGGCTTAGTCAAAAGGGGCTGAGAAAACAGGTTTTGGCACTGATAATTTAAGTTAACTTTTATTGAAATTTTAATATGGTGCCGCTGTAGACCTTGATACTGGATCTGTTTCTAATTAAATAAATAGTGGTAGCTTGCCTTTGGGCCATGGGTAGTCTTAAGAATTGCTCTAAACTGGAATGCTGTTATCAGCAAGGATATGAGAGCTCTCTCTTTTTAGAGATCACCATGCAAGCTCCTTTTTTCCTGGTTAGATAATGTTATGTAGATTTTCAGTTTAGTGTTGGGGTTTTTTAATTGGTTTAGAGCCCTTAAAATATGTAGGGGAAATCCATTATTATTACAGAATAAGTAGGTTTGTGGAAAACTATGCTTTGTTACTGATGGGCAATTTGTCCTATTAGATGTATGATTTTTGTTCTTTACTCTTACTGTGGTTTAGAATATTTGGCTTGTAATATCAGTGTTCTATTTTTGTTTTATTAGTTCCTTATCAAACTTTATTTCGTGATTGCATGCAGAAGTACAGAACACGTCAAGATAATCAGTAAAGAGAAGTAACTGTGCAGATACAAGAAAGGAATCTTACTTGTTCCAGTACAAAACTGAAAGTTGTGATCTCTGTAAAGGTCTCTTAACCTTGTAGCGCTAGTTGATATGCTCAGTTCTACAGAAATAGAGATTTTGAAAAATCCACTTTAAGAACTAGTGTTTCAGTTGTTTGCTGTTGCATCACTGTAGCTTTTTAAAATGTATAATTAAAAAAATAAAAGATTGTATACCATGTAATTTATTAATATCTGTCCTGTGGTTGTTACTGAAGGGTGTTGAGGTGGAGTGGGATAAAACTCAAACTGTAGGAGAAGTCTCTGCCTGTCCTGTTATTTGCTTGATCCTCTGAAGTATAAGCAAACCAGATGAAGTACTGCTGTAGAAAAAGTGATGGTCCTGAGAGTCAATGTACTGAAAAATCTCTCCTGGAGATTTGGCTGTACTTATTCTTCCTACTGTTTTAGAACAATTAAGTTAAATAAGAGCAATGATCTGTACATTTCTGTGCATGTAACTCATTTACTCAGTTCAAAGTGAGATGAAGTATTCCATTATTGATAAGTGCGGAAGAATAAAATTATTGTGAGGATTGACTGATGGTTGAATGAGAAGCTGAGGCAGCCATTTTGTTAATGTATTGCTGTGATTGAGGTGAAAGACAAATGGGTTGAAACTTAAATTGTCATTGTAGGTTTTGAGTGGGTTCTGTAGAGTAAGTCATTTTAATGGAAGTCCAATGTGATTCTTCCTGTAAGTTAATGAAGATAAGCAGGAAAACTAGTTCTGGCTGTTGTGTACTGTAGTTGTGTTTAAATCCAAGTGTAGTTAACTTATGCATATAGCATTGTCAGAATTTTAAATGTATCTTTTTCCGTGTATGAGTGATTTCAAAACACTCATTTTCTCACTTTGCTTTATTAGGATTTTCTTTCTTCCTGAAGACGCTACTTGAGTTTCTCAGAAAAGAACTGTTTAATAAAAATTTAAACTGATTCTGTACCTCTTTCCACTAGGCATACAGAAAGCTGGCCAAGGAGTACCATCCTGATAAGAATCCAAATGCAGGGGACAAAGTAAGACTCTTTTTTTACCCTCTTGAAGTTTGCTATTACAGTAGCATCTAAGGGACCAAATACAGGTGTTGGGGACTTGCTGTTAAAAGTTGTTCAAAAATAATAACTGAGAGGTAACTCTGTCTTGTTTACTTCTTCCAAATCTCAAAATCTACCAATGTTACCTTGTGGAAAAAATGCAGTTGTTGTCCGAGTCAAATTGGTTGAGAGATAACGCTGAGGGAAAAACTGCCTCCCTTCATCTGCCAAGATGATGTCAGCTGGCATTGGCATCTACGTAGGTATATGAAAAAGAGTAAATTTTCCAGGTTTTTCCAATGTGGAAAAAATGCATGTGTTGAGGTTCTTGAAACTGCTGCAGCATAAAACAAATTACATATGTGGGAAGGTTGAATTGGATTTGTTATGCAAATAACAATTTTTTAAAGTCAGTTAAGTTAACTCAGCTGATTCTCTTTAGCAGAACTGACGTTCTAATGGTTGCTTAGAGGTGATCAGAGATAACTATGAAAAAATAAATTTGTTTTGAGGACAGTCACGTTAATATGCATTTTAGTAAGTTGCTCAATTGTTAGCGTATTTTAAGTGGCTAATGTATCTGAAGTCTTTGCCGTTGGTATGTTATAGGGGTTTTTGCCTGTTGACTACTGTGATATTGTGTACTTGGGGATTTTCTTTGGTTGGAATTTTTTTGTTTGTTTGTAAGAAAACTGTGTTATGCTAGGCAGAGTAAAGAACAAAGTCAACAAAATTTTGCAATAAAATGTAATGTTTTGTGATAAGAGGTAACACAACTGAGCCGAAGTCTAAATCTTGCGTATTAGAATGAGGGTGGAAAACTGTTCTGTTGTTTACCACCTTAATTGAGTGTTTGTGCAGGGCAAGAAACCGTAGTAAAATGCTCCCTTGAAGTTCTACATTATCATGTGCTGTTTTGACTCTGTTCTTCTTCTAGTTCAAAGAAATAAGCTTTGCCTATGAAGTATTGTCAAATCCAGAGAAACGTGAGTTATATGATAGATATGGAGAACAGGGTCTTCGAGAAGGTAGTGGTGGAAGCAGTGGAATGGACGATATTTTCTCCCATATCTTTGGTGGTGGATTGTTCAATTTCATGGGTGGTCAGAGTAGAAGTCGTAATGGTAGAAGAAGAGGAGAAGATATGATGCATCCACTCAAGTGAGTATCTTGGTACTGCAGTTTGTACTTTCAAGCTTTCCCAATTGCTACCTGACTCTGCTAGTTTATATTCTTGATGTGCTTGTCAGTTGAGGTTTTCTGCAGTCTGCACCTACTATTCAGACCTGTGTGTTGTGTGTATCCCAGAAGACAGTTGTCACAAGTTACTTTTTGTGATTGGTTAATCTTACAGACTGCCGAGTACTTTGCTTTGTGTGGTTATTAGGCTCTACATACTTTGTTAGCATTATTTTCATTGGGTTTGCCTCTTAATTTTGTTTGGAAGTTCTAATCTGAAAAAGCCTTCAACAACCAAGTATTACTCATTAGCTGGATTCCTAGGGAAGCAGAGGTACTAAGGCTCTGGAAAGACTTAAGTTGCATTCATAGAGCAATACCAGCTGGAACTGAAGTTGAATGGCGTAATTAATGGAAAAGTGTGTGTGGCGGGATGGTTTTGTGTTCTGTGGGTTGTTTTTTTTTTTTTAAAGCCATGCTTTGAATATCACATCTAATTGTGTTTTGTAGATCTGTGCTTGCAGTCATGACTGGCTTTTTGCCTGCTGAGCAGGTCCTTTCTAAGTTCTTAAGATGCATCTTTCCTGTGGTTGGCAAACCGTGCTTAGTAAAGTCTATTTGCTTTTACATGCTTGCTTAGTTTAGTAGCTAGTACTGCATGCTGTATTATTAATTAGATTTGGTTTTGTTGTTATTTGTAAATGCTGATGCTAGGCAACCTTTTCTCAGTACATGGAGTTGAAACTTCTATCGGCTAACAAACCCTTCTAGGAGAAACACTAAATGTGTGCATAAACTTCTGTCAATATAGATGAAGGTTATTGGATTTTGATAGTTTATTCAAGAGCTTCTAAAAAAAATCCAAACATTAACAAATCTAAAGAATTATTCTTATATATGTATGCTATACATATTGTGAGCACTGTCTAGAGAAGTTTGTTTCTCACCTGCCTGGTAGAACGGGAAAAAGAAATCAACTATGACTATGTAATAAAACTTCATGTTAGGTCAGCTTGTTACCTATTCAGAAACACAACCAATCCTATCTGGTTTCTTCCGATTAAAATTGCAGCTTTTCTCTGAAACTATGTTCAGGATTACTGGTGTATATTCATATGTATGGAATAGTTTTTATTGACTCCTTGTGAAAGCTAAAATGGTGCTTTAAAATCTTATTTTCAATAGCAGATTTAGTCTTGTTATGAAGATCTGTTTTTCTTTAGTTTGTTGTCCTAGGCAAGTATTTTAATTACAAGGGGAAAGTAAGTTGTTTAATGATAATCGAGGAGAAATGCTTTATTTTGTAGAGTCTCTTTAGAAGATCTGTATAATGGAAAGACAACTAAACTACAACTTAGCAAGAATGTCCTTTGTAGTGCATGTAATGGGTAAGTTTGTATTTTTTGAGTTCTCTGGTTGCTTTGTTGGCATATAGTATAATGAAGCATCTCCTATGTCAGGTCTTTTATCAGTATTTGACTTACAGGAGCCTGCTTTCAGACTAGAAAATTGTTGAATGATACTGTTGATGGAACTGGAACTATTCAAAGGCTTTGTTTGGGGGAAGGGGGGAGGAGAGAACCTAATTATAATTGGCAGTGCAATTAGGCTTGTTAACCTACCGATATAGGGGGTTTTTGTGTCATATGTTTCTGAAAAACTCACTTTTCATGCAACTGGTGCTTTCTATTCTAGGCAGGGAGGGAAGGCTGGAGCCGTTCAGAAATGTAATGCTTGCCGGGGTAGAGGTGTACGTATCATGATCAGACAGATGGCTTTTCAGCAGATGCAGTCTGTATGCTCTGACTGCAATGGAGAAGGTAGGCTGAGATATTCTGTTACTAAATGCATTTAGTTGGATTCAGTCTCCTGGTTAAATCTCATGAGGAACTTATCCAGGACAGTTTTGCTCCCATCTAGTCAGCTGGGTCTCAGTCTGATCTCAACATGGAGAAATCATTTTACTTGGAACAGCAGCAAGATTTACAGTATTTAATGGGCTGAAAGGCAGCCTGGAAGTTTGAACAGTAGGGATTGATTGTTTTTAAAAACACTTAGATGGGAATATTACTTATTGCTATTACTCTTCCGTTAAAGTAGAAGCCAATATTTTGTTTTAGGAGCTTTCTGTCTTTTTGCAGTCACCTAATATTCAAGGACAGGTTTAGGTTAAAAAGGGAAACCTGAATTTGGATTTTAACCTTGTCAAATTAAAAAGATACCTTTTGCTGATTTGGTTGTGTTTGGGGGGACATGTGATCTACATTCCATGTGATTCCTTTTTAGATCTAATGTAGTTTGCAGAGTAGTAACATTGCCTTGTGGATGATTTTACTCTTCACAGTACTTGGAAATTACAAAGAATGGTATTTTGTGACTAATCAAAACACTTCATAAATTACGATGTCTTTGAACATCTTATTTTCACAGTTTACATAGCTAACCTACATATTTAGCGATTTCAACTGCATCATAATGTTATGCTTTGTTTCACAGAAAGGTGGTTTAAGCTGGCAAGTTTGATGTCGTAAGCCAAGTGCATCTGCTTGTGGCGTTTAGACCAGTATTGGAAATAAGTACTGAAATTGCGCAGTGGCATGTGGCCTAATATTTTGGTTACTCTGTACAAACACAATAGCTTACTTGAAAAATAAAGATCAGGTAGGCCAGAGGATTTAAGCTGTTCAGGATAGTCATCCTCCAGTTTCCTGGAAAAAGTAATTGCCTTGCTAGAGGTGATAGACTCTGGAAAAACTATGCGGTTTCAGAGTATAAAAGTGAAATCCTTTGTGTCAGAAAATGTTAGATCCTTTCTATGGGAAAACCTACAGGATGTTCTTGCATGAAACTGTGATTTGACCAGCTGTCTTCACCCCCATTTTGTATATAAGATTCTAGTTCTTCTGGCGGCATTTATGTAGCACTTTGTTGTGGGTGGTATACTGGAAAATGTGGCTTGTCAATGACCAGCACCCAGTCATCCTTTTTCACTGTTGTTAACAGAAGTAGAACTACGCTTCCTCGTTTCATTGAAATAGTTTGAAATTTGTATTCTGACTTTTAAGGGAGAGGAGACTCTTCAGTTTGGTTTTAGCTTCTCCTTTCTCTTATAGCTGTCATCTTCCACCATAACCAGGCATGGAGAAAAGTAGGATATTTTTTTTTAGGAGTAGTCAGTTGAGTGGTAAGGATACTGGAGTAAAGGCTTAAGGAACAGTAGCAGCTATAGACAAACTCTTGGTGTACCTTTCTCTACAGCACTCTTACTTTTCAAAATCCTTGACGAAACAGCATGGAAGGTTATGTGTATCTCTATATTTATCCTCCCTCCCCCCTTTTTTTTTCTTCCCCCTCTCTTATCTAGGGTAAATTGAGCCTGGCTTTCCTCTTATGAGGAATTCATAAAGCAACATCTAAATCATTAGTTGTGTTGCATGTGTTCTTCAGCCTACTTTAAAATAGTTTTTATTTAGAATCAGATGCAATTATGTGGAAATCTGTGAACTTAAACTTTCTTTCTTTAGGTGAAGTCATTAATGAAAAAGACCGCTGTAAAAAATGTGAAGGGAAGAAGGTGATCAAAGAGGTAAAAATACTTGAAGTCCATGTAGACAAAGGCATGAAGCATGGGCAAAGAATTACATTCAGTGGAGAAGCAGATCAGGCTCCTGGTGTGGAACCTGGTGATATTGTCCTCTTGCTCCAAGAAAAGGAAAATGAGGTAATGCTTTTGAGTTTATATTTTAAATGCCTTTTATCCTAGTCTTTAATATTTAAGTGATATAAATGGCTGTTCATTTTAAAGTAATTCATATAGTTGCAGCTCTGGGAGAGGTGGTGAATAGCTTTTAATAGATTTTATAGCAAGTAACATGGCTTTCATCGGGAGCTGGAAAAATGCAAGTTTGTAGCCAGAGGACATGCAGCTTCTGGTGCTTCCTAATGCTAATAAAAGGCAGCTTTCTCAGGTAAGTTCAGGCTGACTTTGATACAGTGGATACAGTGAAGAGCCATTCAAGATATTAACCATTTTGCTTTGCCTGTGACACTAACAAAATGCTAAGTGTTGCTTTTATTCAGTGTCTTGTGACATGGCAGGGAACTCCTACTAAAATCCCCAGATGGTGCTTTGTATCTCTGCTACTGGGGTTCTGGAAATGTAACACAGAATGGTGATGTTACTGATTCACTTAACAAACCAAAGAAACACGATTATTTTATACTAGTTTGTTAAGGCTTATGCTTACTGTACTCTGGAGTATATACATCACACTTGTTAATTAAATATTGCAATTTGTCTTTTTCTGTGTTCGTGCTCACTTAGGGTAGAGTTGAGGTGACTGGTGTGTTTTTTTTTTTTTTTTTTTGAATGCTTTTGTATAGAAAGGCCAGGTATTACTATGAGGAAATACGAAATAGTTTGTGTGTTATACTCTGGAAAAAATGTTGAATACAATGGTGTGTGGCGGCAGGAATTGTGTTGTGACAGAAAGAATAGCATTGGGTGCAAATTAAAAATCTGGTCCCATATTAAGGATATAATGTTGTTATCTGAAAACTAGGTACTTTGTAAGCTTTTCAAAGCAGTCAAAGGACTGCTTATTTGCCAGTCAGTTTTGCATAGCTCTTTACACATTCCTCTCTTCTTCATTCTGTAACACTGGTTGAAATGTAGCATTGCAGTTGATTTTGACTATGATAAGGGAGAAGCAGTCTGTAAGCATACAGACGAGTCAGATATGCATGACAGAATCAAAATCCAGATGGTGGATGCCACTTCTGTCTTAGTCTTCTAATGAACTACGTCTAGTTTTACAGTATTAACAATTCTGAAAAATACTGTGCCTTGTGTCCTAGTGAGTAAAACTAGACTGACTTTTAGTGAAGCTTTTAGTGTTCTTAACATTTCCCTTGAGGTGGGAGTCATGGTTCTGACAGTGAATAAAGCTTACAGTTAGTCTGAGAAAGAATCCTGAGTGATACGGCTTAAAGATCACTTATGACAGCTGTGGACTAATTGGTCAAAGCCCTGGTATAGATAAAGTTAGCTGAAGCAGATATGCATGATGACTATTTAAATGTTGAGAAACAAAGATGTGTTTTTTGTACTCCAGTGCAGGGGAGGTAGCATCAAGCTGTCATAAGTTTTGTTTATAGGTTGTTTCTGTGGAAGATATTGGGGGTAAGAGAGCATTGCTGCTATGCAGGCCTTCTTGTTTAACTTGAACCTTACCTCATGTGTTGTGTGCCTTACCTTAGATGACACTTTGATCAGGCACAAATTTCCCAAGCATGTTAAGCTATTTCAGTTGACAACATCAAGTTACCTTTGTACAAAGGCTGTTGCTCTGACATTGAATTTTAGGAATAAATAATAATGAAATATAAATAATGAGTCTGGAGATATGATTATAGTACTAGAAAAGACATCTCCAATTTTTGGTTTTTAGGTGTTCCAGCGAGATGGGAATGACTTGCATATGACGCACAAGATTGGGCTCGTTGAAGCACTGTGTGGATTTCAGTTCACATTTAAGCACCTTGATGGACGTCAAATTGTGGTTAAATATCCCCCTGGAAAAGTAATTGAACCAGGTAAGCTTGACCTGATAAGGACTTCTTTGACCATGCTTTTGTGATTCTTTGACACTTAATCCCGTTCTTGTTGTCCTGTTAACTGAACCTAAACTAGAGAAATGAAGATAATTATATGAGCAAGGTTTGTTCTGAAGTAGCACTCTCCAGCTTAACTTCTGTTTGAATTACAGGTTGTGTTCGCGTAGTCAGAGGTGAAGGAATGCCACAGTATCGCAATCCTTTTGAAAAGGGGGATCTATACATTAAATTTGATGTTCAGTTTCCTGAAAATAACTGGATTAGCCCAGAAAAGCTTTCAGTAAGTAGCTTTTCAAATGTAAATGTGGTGGTCTTACTTGACAGCATATGCCGACTGTGTCTGTTGTACATCACATGCTTGCTTTCAGTGCTGAAATTTAGATGCAATTCAGTTGTTCTTTTAACGTTGTTTATGGGCAACATGTAACTTGAACATACCCATTGGGATATGAATTTATGGTATCTGTATTTAAGAGCTGTGCAGATGTTGGGCAGATGAGGGCAGGACGAAGAATCTTCTTTCTGATGTCTGATAAGTTTTCAGGATGTGACTATTTTCTGATTGCACTGTTGGTGATGTGGAGCTGTTGGTTTTCTTTAAGTGGTGTCTTCCAGTTGACACACAAAATTGGTATGCTTTTAAACGAGTATGCATTTCAGGTTTTACATCAGTTTAGACTTCTAAGTCAAACCTGCTTTCAGAGGGAGTCTTGAAGTTGTGGGAAACTGGTCATGTTATTTAGCACTTGTAGATGCAGTACTGAATGTACTTCTTTTTTTGGGGCAGGAACTTGAAGATCTTCTGCCAGCTAGACCAGAATTTCCCAATGTGATTGGTGATGCAGAAGAGGTAGATCTTCAGGAATTTGATACCACTCGTGGTTCAGGTGGTGGCCAGAGACGTGAAGCTTATAACGATAGCTCTGATGAAGAAAGCAGCCATCACGGACCTGGGGTACAGTGTGCCCATCAGTAAACGTTTGTTTAAAAAGTTGCACAAGGATTTTTTTTTTCAAATTTTGCCTGACTTGTTTTCAACAATCCAGCTGGATTGTATAAGTAATCCAGATGAACCAATGGACATCTATTGCTGTATGTGTAACTTTTAAATTGGTCTATAGTATCTACAGAGTGTAATTTAAACTAACCACAAGCTTACATCTTCATTTTGACTGTGTAGCAGAATAAAGCACTTGAAAGGAAGACGAGACTCCTTTTCACATGGGTTTTAAGTTTGTCCTCGTATCTGTGCTTGATTTTTACCAGTTTTGTGTAGATTAAGTTTCATATTTTAAATTCAAATTCTACATTGTAAAGTTTGTGTACAATTTGTCCTGAGGCTTGGTATTTGGCTGCACCTGCATAAGCTGCTACAAGTAGAATAAAGAATTTCATAGCCTGTATCTATCATCTAGATGCATGGTAAATGGGCTTTGCACATAATGGGTTTAGAGCTGACTGGGAACAATGGAAGACTAAATTAGAAGTGGTTGTAAGTTTTTTCTACCATCTTGTGAACGGTTTCTGAAATTAAATAAAAGCAGTTGGTGTATAATATATTTCTTTTGCCTTGTAACTCTTACTTTTCCAGTGGCTTTAACTATTCTGTGTACAAAGAGACTATGTAGATGGTAAACATTTTATAAACACAAGGAGGCTGAAGCTGCTTTAAGAGTAGGTTGCAGTTAAGTAACAATTGTGTGCCACGTGGAAGTCTTCTTGAAATGCAGTTTAACTAAATGGGCACGGGGAAGGCTGCAGCCATGTCCCCTTTGTATGAAGAAAACAAGGATATCTGAGTTCAATCAGAAGATAACAAAACCTTTTAAATGAAGATGATTAAATCCCAAAATAATGGTGCCTTTCTCTTAGCCTTTGAATTAAATTCAAAGCGTGATTCAGCCTGACTTCTTAGAGAAATGTTCCCAGTTTTAACAATCTTTGTAAAAGCGAACGTTATGCCTGGCAACTTGGGCTTGTACTAACACAGTTGGTAAAGAGATGGAGATGAGTATTGTACTTGACACAAATTTTTGGCCTGGAAACATACTGAATGTAGATGGTTTTGTGACTTTACCAGTAGTGTACACTTTGTTTTGAGTTCTTCAACCTCAATTGTGTTCCTTTTTATATGCTTTTAATTGGTAAAAATACCACAACAAAGCAAAAATGTGACCTTAAGTAATTATCAGGTACAGTTAGTTATGTAAGCATTTTGTTACAATGTTAAGGAACTGTGCATGAACTTCGGTTGGTAAGCTGCTTCTGTATAGCGAGGTTTCTCTCCCTGTGGAAGTGAGCATGTTGAAAGATGCCTCTACTTTTCTTTAGAAATCTGAAATGTGACTTGTTTAATTATTGCTCAGAGTTGTTGGCACTTAACCAGTGAGGTTGGAGGGACAAACTCCAAGGGTTTCCATGTGCTTGCATAGGCACTGGCATTTGAGTGTTGCTGAACATTCTTGTTATGCACTCTACAACTGAAGCAAGAATAAATACTGTTTGACCTGTATTTTGGAATTGACTGCTTATACTGGGGCATTCTCATCTAGTGAATCTTATTTTCATTTATTAAAACTTCAGGTTGCTTTTCATGAAGCCATGGTTACATACTGATACTTTCTCCTGATTAATTTCTCCAAGAAGTCAGTCATCTTGCCCTGTAATCCTTAAACAATTTAACCACCTGTCTTCTGCTTTTAAGTAGTAGCTTTAGGATGTACATCCTTAGAAAACAGAGTCTGTGATCTCAAGTTTTTATCTCCTTACTTGCAAATTGCCTTTTTTGGGGGGAACAGAGTAAGGGATTCATAGTCACTTTTTGGATAGCATGCTGATGTGAAAGGCTGGAGGGGAAGTTGATCACTGTATGGAATGTGAGCTAGTCTAGTTCTGTTTCAGTCCTGAGCTGGCATTCACTTAGGCTCCTGATGGCATCTTTCAGTGAACGGTGACTTCTTCAGCGTTGCCCTTAGTGTATCTATTTCCTCCTCCACTGAGAGCATATCCCTTTAGAATGTTGTAGTGTAGAAAAACATCACCAATTCACAATCTACACTGTCTTGGTTTCAATATTTAAGTTCCAAGTAATATACTGTTACAATTACAAATGCTGTAGTAGTTTACTCATTAAATTTAATACTTAGCATAGCTATTAGTGCTTTAGCTAGGCCCCTGTGACTGTTGTATGAATAATCAAACATTAGTTGGGTGTTCTCAGTAATAAAGAGCTGCAACTCAACTATTGGTTACATGTGGTACTGTAAACAAGTGAGTATTCTATATGTTGGCAGAGGAATATTAACCCCTAACCTTCTGCTATAGCCTTAGGCTGATGTGAGTATGAAGTTCAAACAACACTCTAAAGCAGGTGTGGGGCATTTAATTGTATGCCTCTCTTACCAAATTTTAAAGGAACATTATGTGGAGGCTTCCTAGTGTGGTGACAATTCATAAGAATGACTTCAGTTGATTGATGTGATGCTCTTATCAATTTAAGGGAAAATGGATGTTAGTTCAAGTTTAAACTAAGGAGTTACAGAACTAACCATAAGTGTTCTGTAAACATCTATAATCTGAATGAAAGGTTTATTCCTGTATTTTTGTTTACTAAGAGCATAGTTTTCATCTAGAGTTGATAGGGTTTTAACCATGTTCTTTACTACAAGTTTTGTCTCTCATGCCTTAGGAAGCTTTCTTTTTTCCTTATTTGAAACTTGTGATTTGTGTTTTCTTAAGTGAAGCAAGGGTAGAAGCAGAACAGAGGAAAAACTAATCTAGATTTCATTCTTAAACTGATGTTTCAGTTTAAAGAGTGTTGAAGTTTTTCATACCATCCTTTACCACAGTGAAAACACTTTAATTGAAATCACCCCTGGCAAAGTAAAAGACACATGCAGCCTGAAGCTGTGAAAATATTCAAAAGTATATAAATACTATAAAAACTGGGTTGAGACTACACCGTAGTACCCGTGATCTCGCACATTACTGTCATGTCACAGCACAAGACTGGAAATAACTTTTACTCCTGTGTCAGATTCATATGTGCCACCACAGAACTAAATTACATGCCTTAAAATGCTCTTCAAGAATTTAGAAACTTGCATTTCAGGTTAATTCCAGAGTTACTTTCAAGGAGATGGATAGAGGGAAGACTAAACCTGAGCAGTAAACAAACATTACCTTCTGCCTGTGGCATGCATTTAAGAATGATATTGAAGAGCTCTATACTTCAGAGTCGTTATGTAAGAAAAAAAAGAGTCGTATTTAGAATAGAGTTAAAACTTACTTCCTACATACAGCCTATTAATGTTCATTTTACTGTGAACTAAGGTTAGGTGTTAACTAAGCCTTTTATAAAGAAGTGGGAAAAGTAGAATTATTTTCTTCTGCTTTTGTATCCTTCAGCGATAACAGGAATTAAATAATACACATCACACTGTACACTTTTTATATAAAAACATTTGCTGGGCAGTATACAGCTTTATTAAGACATTCTAGACATTCTCTAAACACTGAGGCAGCAAGCAAGAGTCATCATCAATATTCCACAATCACAAGGCAGTTCCATTAACTCGGTTTAGCTGTTGCCTTTCCACATAGTACAGTCAGCTCATTCTAAGGGGGGAAAAATTCATTTTAGTTCAAGCTACCCAACAGAACTTGGAAGAAAAAAGAAAAGTCACTATTGCTGAAGCAAGCAGTGAGCAAGCACTCCCCCATTCTCTACCTACAGAGGCAGATCCACATTACAAAATATGAAACAGCTTCCAGACCTCTAGCTTAACTCCTATAGCTGTGTTCAAGTCTAAATACCTGCAAGACTGTAAATTGATTAATATTTCTTATGTCTAGACAGGTTTCTAGTGCTGCACAGTAGTTCCTCCAAAAGCCCCAGTACCCTCATATTCAGAAAAGTCAGGCACTATGTGCTAGACAGTCCTGTTCAATTTCATTCTGCTTCAAAACAATTTACTTCCCTAGACCAAAGGTAAGGCAGTTGCTATTGAATTGCAGCAGAGAATTAACAAGAGTATAGTTCTTACTCAGCAAGGGACATAGAATAATAGAGAGATTATAATAAGAATCAAAACTTAGCTGTAGCTTTGTAAGCCTTTGTGAATATGAGAGAGACAATGGCAGTTTGCTCACATGGTAGGAGAGACAGTAGAGCAATCTAGAAGGAAGAGTTTATGCTCCTGTTGTCCCCCAGGCCAATTACTAAACTGCACATGCTTATTTAAGTACGCTTACTTTTACATGTTATCTGTGTGTAGCAGTTTTCCCCTCCCTGCCCCTCTCCGCCCTATTCCTCCCTCCAATTTAGGCCAACCAAGTTAGGCTTAACCTCAGAGCAGTTAAAGTACTAGAATTTGCATTCATGACAGTCTCTCACATGAAAACCCAAGAGTAGGTGCCTGAATATTTTATATGTAAGCCTACTAGATTAAGCTTACCACTAAGTTATGAATATGCTGTACTGTATCTTGATTGAGTAGTTGTACATCAATATTATGGAGGTCTCCACCAGCCGTACAGAGTGTCTAAACATGAAGAGAAATGGTTTTAAGATAAAAAGTATTCTGAATTTTTTACTTGCAAGGCCAGCTTTTCTAAAAATTAAACGCTTCCCTGCTGCACTGCAGAACTTAAGTAACCATTTTTCCTTTTGTTTAGCAGCAACTTATTTAGGGATAGCATGAGCTATCACTATCAGACAATTCAGTTTATCAACTACTGTAAGATTAATTTTTTTTTTTTAAATAAGAGTTCGATACCTGTCCATCAGCCAGGGGAATGTTTACAAATGGAACAGTTTTAACTTGGGGTACTGATTTACTTCTTAGTAACATGCCTTGACCTCTTCCTCTGGTAGGTACCGTTCTTGAGACGGTCTGTTGTAGTCCAGCACTAGAATACAATAAAAATGTTACTCTGAGGTTAGCTTCCTATGCTCTGCAGGAAATTTTCAAGCATGAAGCAAATGCAAGTAGTAGCAAACATACCCAACAGAAAGGCAGTCATGTTTAAGTTTTTCCAGTTCTGCCAGAAGACTACAGGAAATACAACCCTCAGCAGCATTTACTAGCACCAGCAGGTAACATCTTGCGATGCTGCAACACTCCAGTAACCTCCTAAGCCTGTGTTACAGGCCAGCGAGCAAGCTCACATTTGGACCACTCAGTAAGAAAAATATCCACTCTCCAATATCAACAATTTTGTAAAGAGGAAACTTCATGCCTCAGGGCTTAAGATAAGATGTGTGCTGTATCTGTCTACTGCAGAGGGAGATATCCAGAAATACAGAAGCTGCTAGCTCTCAGAGGTACAGGGCGTGCCTTGTGCCATACAAAATTTCTAAGCTGCTTTCACGATACTATTGTTCCACTTTAAAAACATTTGGGTATTTATCTTCTGCATGGAAACAAGCCTCTGAAATTTATAGCAGGCCAAGGTGAAACTAAGCCACTTGCTGGTTTCATGACCCATTTAAGTTGTAAGGAAGTTTTTCACCCCACTTCAGCTGGTGACTTCTGCCAAAACCAAACTCGAGTGTATGGAGAAGGGTAATAACTGAAAATCTTAACTGTTCAATATCCAAAGAACTGATTGTCAAGTTATTTGGTTGGGGTTCTTTGGAGGTTTGGGTTTTGGGGTTTTTTAATTTTTTTATTTTATTTTATTATTTTTTTTTTAAACACAGCAGTATTGGTGACATTTTAATCAAGCTTGGACTCTGAGAATTAGTTTAAGCTGTAAACTATACCTTTAAACAACAGTGGACAGGACTAAAATCTAGAGTATAAATCTGGGTTTTTTTAGGTTTTTTTTGTTTGTTTGTTTTTTCAACTGGCTTAGTTACAACGTCAAGTCCTGTACCTCCATGAGAATGTAAGTTAACACCCACAATCAAAGCATGACGTATGACTGGTTCACATCCCCACTATCAAATTTAATGGCAGATCATGAAGGTCTATTAAATCTAGAGTGATGATGATTGATTCATATCTAGATTGATATTTATGTAGATATATAGTGTATTGGTATTTAACAAAATTATTTATTAAGAACAAGACGAAAAACCCCTTACCTTTTAGATGCCTTTGGCGTGGCTTTGAAATTTGTGGCACTGCAATCAGAAGCAGGAAACTTAATGGCCTCAGCCACACTTGCAGAAGAGTGAACAGACCTCAAAAAAAAAAAAAAAAGTTGTTGTTGGGTTTGTGGTTCTTAAATTATTTTATTTTTTTATTTCCTCCTCATGTACTGTAGAGAATGAAGGTAAGACAGCTGGTGAATTGGAAAATGTTGAAATGCTCCATGACAGAGATCTAGTGTATATACATGTGAAGAAGCCCCCTGAGGTAGACATGATACAATGGGACCTAACACCATAGGGGAATGGAAGGATAATTTATGTTAGTAGATAAGAGAGGACTGCAATACCCGAGTTGAGTATAATTAGGGGAGCACACACAGCTCTCTATTTGAGCATGCAAAAAGTTTATTGGGAAGTTTCTTTTTC